CTAATTCTGCAAGTTTGGAGGTGTTTTGCCCAGAGAATACCTTACATAAAAAGCATTAGGAGGCTAGATGTGTAGTCCCAGAAACCTCTCTTCACTAGAGGGGATGGCTCTAGGGAACACAGAGGGGTGAATACAGTGCAGTTTTCTGCCTGCCCGCTGGGGTCCCCTTCCAATGGTTTTTCTGCTTGAAGGGGCAATCTAGCTCTGCACACTGATTGATTCTAATGACAACATGGTGCAGTGTGATGAAATTAAACAGCAATGGTTTTTTGGAAAAAGGGAAAATGTTTGTGCTCCAATCGATAATCCAGGGATGGCCAAACTTACTGACCCTCTGAGCCGCATATAACAATAACAAGAGTGTTCAGAAGTTTGAGAGATGGAGAGCACCTGCTGAGGCTCGGGGCTTCAGCCTTGCGGGAGGCACCTGCCAGGGCTCGGGGCGACAGCCCTGTTCCTGCTGAAGTCCCAAGCCTTGGCAGATGCCTCCCATGGGGCTGAAGCGCCAAGACCCCCATCCCTGCTGGCCAGAGGTGATGCGTGAGGGGTACACATGGGGTCACATGCCTCCCCCCGATTTTTTCCAGGGTTTTCTGGCCCCGCTCGGTCACATGGTGCTGCCAGGCCCCCTCCCTGCAAGCAGCTGCTGGAGCTGGCAAGTTGGGAGCTGCGGCCATGGGGAGAGCCAGCAGCAAATAGCTGGGAGCTGCAGGGAGAGCCGCTGCTTTTGCTGCTGCCTCTCCCTGCAAAGCTAATGTAGTGCCCCCTCCCTGCAGCTCCCAGCTGTTTGCAGCTGCCTCTCCACAAAGAGTAACACCTGGGAGCTGCAGGGAGGGGCCACTGAGGGTAAGCGGGGGGGGGGGGGTACATGCCTGGTGGGGCATGACTCAAGCTGTTGGGAGGGGTAGGGAGGCAAACCTTTAAATTGTGCCCCCCCCCCAGTCTCAGCAGTCACCAGTCGTCTCTGGCAGAAGCCCCTAGCCCCACCATCCCACCGCAAGGCAGAAGCCCCAAGCTCCACACCACCAATCTGGTAGGTGGAGAATGGGGGAAGGGCATGGGTGACTCCATGAGCCGCACTTTAACTGTGAAAGACCCACATGTGGCTCACGAGCCGTGGTTTGGCCAACTGTGCTATAATCCATAGCAGTAGCAGCAAGTATAACAAATAGAGTAAACACACAATGAAAGTAGCAGATCCTCAACCAATTCCATCCTGATTCTATACAATGGCTACAAGTAGTAAGTTATTCAGAAACATTAATAAAAATAATGTCATCTATAGTGTGGCTTATTTTTAAGGGAGGTCAATGTGCTGTGCTGTACTTACTGTATTAGACATGCAGTAGAAATCTGTCTGATACTAATTACATTGGCTAAAATTACAGTAAGAAAATATTTGATGTACCGTAAATATTTGTTTTTGCTCCTATAGAAAAACTGAATCACGTTTATTCTAATTCTTTATTAGGAAAATAAATGCTAATATCTTTTGATACTAAAATAAAACAACAGAAACTTACTAGTGCATTAGATGTTCAGCATGAGAATAGGAATGGTGTTTCTGTTCATTTCAGCTCAACTCACTCTGCCTTCAAGAGTATGTGCATGTTCTCTATGGTAATATATGCATATTCTTTATATAATCATAAAGTAATGTTTCCCCATAGTTATTTAAATCTGGATGCTAGCCTGGACCAACCCAAATCCCAGTGCACAAATCACTTGCTCTAAAAGTTTTATCTGTATATCTGAGCATATCATATAGTCTCTGATGAACCATAAAAATAACTTTTGAAAAAGACAACACACAAGTCACTCATCCACAAACTGAGGCCTTTAACAGAAAGTGTCCCTTTCCTGAAGGTCCAAAGCCTAAAATTCTCCAATATTTCCTATTATTTACTCATCTTAAATCCACAAACATGCTAGAAAAGAGAGGAGCTAATGGGGAAGTTTTAACAGGCTTCAATATCATTTGTGCCAAGATCTTTGGCATATGAGATGTCAGGGTTGCTGGGGACAAGACTTATGTTCATGTGCTCTCTGAACTGACTTCCTGGTTTGTGGGTGTCAATCTTGGTACAAAAAGGACTTTAATTGCATTTAGAGCTCTAATAATCTTTCACATCGGGTCTGACAGATCATTGCACCCTTCAAGTCAACCTGGAGGATGACTGGGAAGGACTTGACAAAGTCACCGCACACACACTGCAACAGAGTGATGTGTAGATGCCTGGAGTCCTTTTTAATGTTTGGCCAAATGAGGTGGTACTCAGTACCAGAGACTTCAGTGCTGAGATGCCTAGGGCATCATGGACTAGGTGCACCACTCAGTCCCCTGCCTTGGTGATAAAGCTACACTGTTGGACTTGGAGAAAATTTGGGTCTGCACCAATGCAAGCAGTGCCAACAGCAGCAGAGGTACCCAGTGCCCAAAGGGAACTCAGATTTAGGCTTCAAGTAACTCTCCTTCAAAGCACCCTAGGCTGGCCTCTTGCCAGGTTTATGGGGGTTTCTTTGTGGGCAGAGGTCCCTTCAGAAGGGAGCAGAGTGATTCTCTGAAATACTTGAGTACCCTGGGTGACATGAAATTAGATCTGACATCCCCTCACAGAAGTGATCCAGAAAATGTGAATATCCATTAATAATGTCCATGCAGCACAGACATTCCTCGAAGCTGCTACAAAACAGAAAGACTGGCGCTGAATAGGAGCAAAGGGCTTCATCAGAGATGCAAAGCAAGAAGGTGAGGTACCAAAGCAAAAAATGCCACAGAAAATTGCATCCAAGTGCCAAAAAGAAAAACAACAAAGCACTGAGCAAAAATGGCAAAGTGCTAAAAACTACATCAAAGAACTTCGTACTCAAAATAAAACACAGGCCATCGTATCAAAGTTGTTTCAAGTTCTTTGGCAGCTGGAGAATAGTTGTCAATGATGTTCCTGGGCTAGTGGCAGAGAAAGAGCTGCAGAAATAATAATTAAGATGAAAAGAAGCAGACCTGACTGCAGCATCAGGTGGACACAGCACAAAGATATCCAAACCCACTGAGGCTGAAAGGAGAAAGTTCAGCTGGAGAGGCACAGATTCCTGCAGGGATTTTTGGGACATTGCAAGGGCAACAGTTAAGCTCAAGGGGGGTCAGTACAAAACATGTGTGGTGTAAGTGGTTCCACACACCACTGTTCCACCTGCTTGTGTTGGGGTGTGGCATTGCAGGCACTCCCTGCTTCCATTTACAAGGTGTGACAGCTAATCCCAAGTAAGGCGGTGTGCCGTAAATTCAGCATACCATCTTTAAACGGTTACATAATCTGGTTGTCCGTGCCTTTAAACAAACAAATGTAAAAAGGCAGATGCTTCACTGCAGCGTTTTTAAGCCGAGGATCCAAACTGGCCTTGGAGTGCTGGGTTAGCACAGAAGAGCTCCTCCATTGCTGGGTGAAACTGGGACAGACTACTCAGAGGAAGCAGGCAAGCCTTCTTATCTGGTTTGCTGTCTCCCTATTGGCCTGTGTCACCTCCAAGATGACTAAATCTCACTGGTGGCCCAGCCCAAGTGGATTTTCCTTAAGCAGGGGATGTCAGGATGACGATGCCTCCAGCAAGGGGCTGAGACAGTGCGATAGCCCCCACCACATAGGTGGATAGTGGCTCCAAGGGGACAAAACTTTCAAGAGCTTTGGGGAGTATCACCCGATCTGTGCTAAGGAACTGACCCAGGACTGCTAATTGGTCAGTATTAGCATGTATTTAGTTATATTATACACACGAATAAATATCACCTCCAAAACTGGCAAAAATTATCTAACCAATAGGTATTTTTCATAATTACTGTTCTTATTGATAAGAAAGCTAATTATATACGATACTTGAACAAATTTCATTAGAAAATCAAGCTACATTTGGCTACGTCCCAACATCTTATGATTGTCTCACTGAATTCTGATACTATTTATACAACAAACAAACAATTTTCAAAATTCTTCTAAAATGCAAGGTTTAGACTGCTGACATAATGTTAATTCAACACAGCTGTTAAGTGGGTCACTCATTAGAGCAACTGACTCCAGAGAAAGAGAAAAGCCAGTCTGAAGCAATTATAAATAACCCTTAAGTTAAGCAGGTTCATATTTCTTCAAGAGAAGCAATTATTAATTATAAACAAGACTTCTACCTAAAAGTAAACTCAACTGTATAAAAGATAGCGTTGGAAGAATAAAAAACAACAACTATAGGTGAATTGGGAGAGGAAATATTAGCTCTGGACAACAACCTTAACTATCGTTTGGTACTGATGACTAATAGAAAACTTTGTAACTGGAAGCTTTCACTACTGATAATTTATGCAACCAGCCACTGCAGGTAGCATGATGTTATACAAAGGATATGCTTTCAACGTCACAATGTCCTCATTACTTAGAGTTAACATTTACAGTGTTTACTGATGAAAATGATTTCAAGGATTTCATATAGTGAGAGAGAAACCAGTTCAAATAAAAACAGAATGGATCAAATCTTTTCAGAGGTTTGAAAAATGTTCAGTTGACTAAAAAGTGTACTCCTATAAACTTTCTATTTTATCTAGGAACAGAAGCAGATATATCAAAATAACATGAGAGGCTGGCTTTTCTTTTGCTTTTTCTGAACAAGACAAAAATCAGGAACAACTGTACATTTTGTAAGATTCTTATGTCCTTTTCTCATGAGAGCTCTAGCCTGATTTCCAGATAGGAGAGATTAAAAGAACATGGAAAATACTTTTGTTCAACATATACACTGAAACTTAAATGTGGTTTGGACATCATTAAAAATGGTAATGCAAAGATTTCTAATTTGGAATTCTATGCACTTAAGTTGATGTCTTGTCAGGTAGAGCTTCCAATATATGTTCATTAAACTAAAAAGTTACAGCATCGTAATATATCCCATATAAAACCAACTTTGTTAATGCTGATAAGAGGTATGATTTAAAATGAGAAATTGTTTCTATTTACCTTCTGGACATTGACAACTGAATCCACTGATATTGGAAAAGCAGGTACCACCATTTCTGCATGGCTCTTGGCTGCAGTGATCAATCTCTGACTGACATAGTTCTCCAGTGTAACCTATATCATGATTCAAAAGTTTTAGGAAGTGAAGAGAAATTAAAGTTTTATTACAAAATTTGCCATTATACCATTTAAATAGCAGTAAGTTAGTTTCTTTGAATAATATTACCCCCCCAGAGATGAGAAACAGTATTCATGACAGTCTCTCAATATTCAATTTTTCATTAAAACATTCAATTAATAAGAATCTGAACTTGGTTCCAGCAACATAGATCAAAATTCAAATATAGTGATACTATCAAATTGTATTTTACCAATAGCAATATTCTGACTGAATTAGTGTGTATGGGGTTGTGCAACCACAAAGAACTTCAAATAAATTTCTATTTTATTTTGATTCTGAACACAAAAACCTCTAGGGAGACTTTAAACAAGACTAGTCATTCTGAATTATTTGTGCATATGCTGAATGACTGTCATTTGTTCCTACTTCTGAGCCTCAGAGAGGATTGTTTATTTTAAGTGAGAGATGTGGGGACACAATCACCACAGTTGTAAATTCTGCCAAAAACAAGCTCCTCAAAGATTGACAGATTGCAAGTTCAGTGTATGGTGCGTCTACACAGTGAGGCAATGTGCATTATAAGGGTGTGATTTCTAAAATGTGTGCTAAAGTATTGCACATTAATTGGTCTGTGTAGACCCTGCTGGTACGCACTAAAAGTTCCCTAGTGAGCTTTAATCTAGTGTTGTTTGAAATAGTATTACATTAACGTGCATTAGGGAACTTTTAGAATGCACCAGCAGGGTCTCCATGGACCAATTAATTCAGAACACATTAGTGCATGTTACCCCACGGTGTAGATATATCTATAATGCCAATTGATTGTTAGCTTGCTTTTTCTCATATGCTGGAAGACCTTATAGTAGGTTCAGAATAATGAACAAACATTGAAATAACAATCTAAGTAACGAAATACTCCAAACTCAAATCCTATCACAAGTACCACACGTTTCTCATTCTATGTTTAAAATTATTTCTTTTGTTCTACTATTTATCTAGGGATTTGTGTGTAAAGAGAAAAAGTACTGCATGTTACACACCTGGTTGTTACCAAGTATGATCCCAATGAAATACTTAAAGTTAATTGGTAAAAAAAAATTATATCTTTGTAAAACTGTACAATTCCCAGTTATGTCAAATGGAATTTTGTGTATTGATCTAGGGCAATATGTGGTCTTCAGTTTACCACAGACTGGGGGGAGGAAGTGTAGTCTAATGTCTAGAGCATAAGACTGTGAATCAGGAGACAGAGTTCTAATCCCCCTTCTACCACTGACTTGGTGTTTTGACATTAGGCAAGTCACTTAAGCGGTCTTGTGTTTCAGTTTCTCCATCTGTAAAATGCTTGCCCATATCTGTAAAGTGATCTGAGATCTACAGTTGAAAAGTGCTCAGGATTAATCATTGTTATCATATGAGAATAAGTACATATACATATAATAAAATATATTTAAATAATTGAGGTACCAATGGGTCTAAACCAGAACAGCATAGTTAAAGTTCCCTGAACTCTAGGGACGTGGATATAGAACCAAGTGTGTATTTCACCTCACCTTCTACACAGGCATTTCGCTATTACTGGGAAAAACCAAACCATTGTATGTTAAGACTCTAGAGAATTTCAAATCCAGATCTGGATTAGAACTTTGTTTATTGGGCCTACCCAGAGCACTAAATGTGAATATCAATGAACTTTGGAGAAGTTCAGATCTGAATCTGTTTCCAGATACGAGCTTCATGATTTGGGCCTCTCTGTAATTTGAGAGTTAGATTAGCATTAAGTAATACAGTCTTATCAAACACAACATACTTTCTTTTCTATTTTTCCTATCAAACATTTAAAGATTCTTAAAAATATATATATACTCAATCATAAATCTAATTCTTGAACATAGTCAAGGCACCTGAATCCCCCACATATGGGCCGTTCTCTGTCATCTCTCTTTATAATTATGTTTCTAGGCACAGGTACTAATAACATGGTGTGTAATTTTGGAACTAGCATCAGGAATTCTAATAGGACCTGCTTGGACTGTTTTCCTCATGCAGAAAAGATATTCCTTAGTTATTGATTGAATCATTTTTTATAAAGTGTTTACCATTTAAAAGCCTACTGGGCAGAATTACACCTATTCAAGCCTGTTGATGTAATTTTAAGGGTAAGTCAGCATTGAATTTGGCCCAAAGGTGTATAACTGCTAGAATTCTACACCAGATAAGATTTCCCTCTTCTCTGTGTTTTCTTTGCATTTTTACATGGTACCATGAGCCAAATTCTGTTCCTACTTTCTCCAGCATGAATCCAGAATAACTCTGTTGTATCTGCATTAACACCACAACTGGCATCTAAGTTCAACAAAGAAACTAAGGAATCTCCCATAGGTGGTCCTTCTAGTTCAGGGCTGGGTTACACAGCAGAGCAGTGAGAGGAAGCTTGCACTGTCAACTGTTTGTTACCATGCCCATACTGTGGATGACCAGTAGATTTCAGTATCCATGACTGCCAATGGCGAAGAGCACTTAATGAACATAACACTTACAAAAAGACAACAAGCACAAGGAACCGCAGAACACTGTTAGCCAAGTAATTTGCTTTCGATATACGTATTTTAGTATTTCAAGTTCTCTCTCATGTTCATAGGATTATTTTTCTGAAGCATAGTGCAATACTGAATATGCTTACTTCATTTTCAGTTATGCCCATCTTCAGAAGTGTAAGTCTGTGAAAATAAAAATTACACTGGAATTCACTGTGTGATTGTAAAAACTTTAGTCAAATGAGGGACATGTAATTGCATGGCTCTGCAACTTGCTAAAATAATCAGCTGGATTTGCTGTGACTGTCATAATAACCTGGAACAAATCACACCATAAAGATGACATTTTATTGTCTGCTTTATGAAAACAAATATATTCCATCTAATTAACAACTATATTGCATGTATTCCTCTAAAGAAAGAAAATATACTTTTGGTCTTTAATAGCCAATACTGAGTGCTGCAAATTAACAGTTTCCTAAATGAGTCATACTACAAAAAAGCAGCATGTCAGTCAGATACATTTTAAGAATCTTTGTTCCTGTACATTTTGTGCAGTTACAAATCTCTGTATCATTTTCTTGTAGCAAGGTTATGGCAACATGGTACTTCACAGATACTGTGGGTGCTGAACGCTTTCAAAAATAAGGAGTGTATAGTATATTCTATTTTTCTTTTCCATTTCCTCTACTAGCTTCTAATATGCAGTGAAGGGAATCTGTTGGAATCTTTTCTAAAAGAAATAACATGACCACCACCAGTTTCTACTTTTCATTTCTGGATATACTGACATATGTTCTAATAGAAAATCTAGTGAACATTAAGGCTAGGTCTACACTACAGCGGGGGTCCGACCTAAGATACGCAACTTCAGCTACGTGAATACCGTAGCTGAAGTTGCGTATTTTAGGTCGACTTACCTGGCTGTGAGGACGGGGGAAAGTCGACCGCTGCCGCGCTGCCGTCGACTCTGCTGCCGCCTCTTGCCGTGGTGGATTTCCGGAGTCAACGGCAGAGCGATCAGGGATCGATTTTATCGCGTCTTCACTAGACGCGATAAGTCGATCCCAGAAAATCGATTGCCTGCCACCGGACCCTCCGGTAAGTGTAGATGTACCCTAAGATGAAACAAGCAGTGACAGTCATTCCAATTACTACAAAAACAGTAGGTTTCAGAAAATAAAAGCAGAAATTTTCAAGAAAAAAAAAAACCACAGAAAAAGCCAAACCCAACACATTTTAATGTCTGAAGAAATAGGGCTAAATTCTTCAATGGCACAAATGAGTCCGACTCCACTGGCTTCAATGGAATTGAACCCACTTACCCTATAGCTGAATTTGCCCCGAAGAGAATGTGTGAGCCTAAGAATGAGAGAGGTGTAAATCCAAGAAAAGAAGCAGAGTGAAATGAAAAATCTTGGAAAACATGAAACAACAACAACAACAAGGCAGGGTAAGAAAAATTAAGTAAGACTGAATTGTCATATTTATGGACCCAGCCTTGGTACTAATGAAATCAATGGCAATGTTCCCACTGACTTCAATAGGAACAGAATTTTGATTTATGATGTTAGAAATGCTCTACAGAAGTGTCTTTTTATCCTTCCCCAACCCCATTTTCAGCCCATTAGAGGCAAATGCAATATAATGCAATACTCCTTTCTGTAAAAAGCATGCATACTGTACCCTAAGAGACGTTGAATATCTACAGAACAATCCCATTCATTCAGCAACAGTCCATTTTGGATTATTGTTGTGGTGAATCAAAATGACAAACATAGGTGCTGGAACTAGGTGTGCTGGCTTGAAGGGATTTCCATTATATACAGGGTTTACAGTTTGGTTCAATAGCTTTCAGCACCCCTACTATAAAAATTGTTAGGGCATCCCTTACGACAAATGAATTTCAAACGCTGATGTATGGTACGAATGTCCCACCTCAGTGCAGAGAAGGCAGAATAATCCAGTGGCTAACGTGCTAGCCTAGGATTTGAGAAACCTGGATTAAGTCCCTGCTCCACCACAACCAGAAGGGCACCATAGCATTAGAGAATTGAACTGAAAATGGCTTAAAGTGCATCACAGAGTCTAATATACGATTTTATGGAAGTACGTTTTTATGAAAAATAGGTAAAAATCAAAGTTTAAAATAAAATATATATTCACTCTCATGGGTCAAAATTAATGGATTGGAAATACGTATTTTTTTGTTCAGAAACTGGCATGTAAGTAGTTTCTTTACCATAATACATAGAACTTGACGGTTTCATTAAAACTTCTCATGGTTGGGTTAACACTCAGGTTAAGGAAGCAGTAGAAAGTGCTGCTTCTAATATGTATATTTTTAGTCACAGGGATTTAGAAATAATGGAGACTTGAAAAGTTCTGGGGCTAGATTTTGGCTGTTCAGCCACTGCCTGACGGTAAAGGGGGAGCAAAGGTGCCTTGCCCCAGTA